AATTCAAACTCCCCTGCAGCCCTGAATTTGATATGCATAATGAAATGGGTGGATAGATGGAAACAATGGCTGGTGGACAGAACAGGAAGTTTTGAAGCACACATATGTTTTTTTTAACTGGATACCCTGCTTATATGTTCAAGTATAGATGGTAAATAAAAGATGGACGCAAGCTTTAGGGTCAGAAAAGTGCCATAAACCTGGCTCCCGGATATTTGTCTGACCTCTTGCAGACTTATACCCCCCTCAGATCTCTTAGATCAAGTGATCTTTTGCTTTTAGCCGTACCAAGGTCGAGGCTGGTTCATAGAGGCGATCGAGCATTTGCAGTCGTAGCACCTAAGCTGTGGAATAATTTACCCCCATACATCAGACAGGCTCCTACTGTCAATCTTTTTAAATCTTATCTTAAAACACATTTTTGTTTACTGGCTTTTAATACAGCATGAGAGTTATTTGTTAATTCATATTTGGTGTTTGCTATCAATACTCTAAGTTATTTTATTAGGTATGTTGTATTCTTGTACAGCACTTTGGTCAACGCTCCTGTTGTAATTAAATGTGCTATATAAATAAATAAACTAAAAACTTTAAACTATAACCTGCATTTTTGGCAATGGCCAGCAGGGCAGATACATTTGGTTGCAGAAAGGAAAAGGAAAATGACCTCTGAGTATTTTCCTGTTGAGTGTGTGGTCTTAATTATGAAAGTGAAAAAAAAAAAAGAGATAAAGGAAGGTATGCTTTAGGGTTACTTTTTTATTTAGAGCCACAACTATTTGGAAACAGTTGGACTTCACATGGTGGGCATACTGGTGGCTAGTAGAGTTTATGAGCCAAACAAAAAATACTGTTGCCCCCAAAGGATAAATCGGCTAACTAGCCGATTGGTTCCCTCATCCGTAGTGAGCTAATGCAGCGGTCCCCAACCACCGGTCCATGAGTCTTTTGGTACCGGACTGCGAGAGTGGAGGCTCAGGTGTGAAATGTATGTTTTTTATTGGTTTTTATCGTTATTTTGTTATTGTTTTTATCGTTAACTAGGTTTCCCTGGGTCTTTTCCCATGTGTTATGAATAAATCTTCTTTTTTTTGGTAGTGGTACTGGTTTTATTTTGTTGTATTTAGCCGCGACACTTTAAAGGACGACCCCTGAAAATACTGTCGGACATAAACCGGTTGGACCGCTGAGCTAATGTACCTGACTGTTTGCTGCAGCTTCATATTTAGCATTCAGACACACTAGAGGGGAGTCCATCCTCTCACAACTGTCTGCGAATGAGTAGTGATTACACAGACGAGAGAAATCCTGGATATCTTTCTGTGAAGGCAACTAACATAAGTGTATTTCCTAAAATTTGATTCAAACCCATTTGCTTTTATCATTGTGACACACTGCAAAAAAAAGGAGAAAAGAATAAAAATTGCCCCACAGAAGTGAACGCACGTCCACCTGCTGTCCCATCGCGTCTGGAGCTGCGCTGCATATAAAAGAGAGAGCGGCTCAGCCTGCAGCAGATGACAAGAGCAAATTTTGACTGGCAAACAACTGGTGGGATCCGGGCTACAATCTAAATGAGAATTTCTGAGCGGCAAGAATAATGAGACAGTTTACTTTCATTGCATCCTCAATGAGAAAAGTATTGACCCACCTTGTGTTCCTGTGGCTTTGCATCTGCAGTACAATAACAGGACAACAGCAAATAGGATGCTCATCTGGAAGAGAAAAAAAAAGTAATTTACTGGCTAAAATGTTGACCATTCTTTCCTCTCAAATCATTAAGGCAGAGTGGAGTTGTAATTGCTGTTTAAGGAAAATAATCTCTGCACTGAGCAGCTTACAAAAGACTATGAATTTGACCTGTGGGTGTTTGGTTTATACAATAGAAATAAAAGGCACTTACCTTGACTGATTCTACTGTGTGTAGACAAACGTGAAGGAGAGTAGGGGTGCCTTCCCTCTGGGGGTGGGACCAGATGGTTTCTTTATACACATCCTGTGCAAAACACGAGCTGTGGGACTTTGCCACCTCTCCCTCCCTCTGTTATCCTCTTTCCTGTAGCAGCCACAAGTGGATCAACTGGCTTATGTTTCAGGGTCGTGAGCAGCAAATGATCTCTTCAAGTAAGGCCAAAGATAAAGAGAATAATTCCCCAGCTTTCTGCTGAGAAAAGCTGAAGAAAAGAAAAAGACACTTACTTGTCATACTTGTCCTCATATAGCACTGGGCCGGTGTTAGAGAGCACACGCTATCTCTTACAATCTTTGCAGAGCTCTGCTTTCTCGATTGTTTGGCCTTGCTGACCATAGCATGCGACTAAAGCCCCAAAAGATATTGACCCAGCAGCACACAAGCTAAATGAGTTTTGAGGACACAGTTCTTGCTCAAAATACAAAGGCTCAGGACTTTCCTCCACTTGCAAGAGGAGATATTTTAAACCTCAAATCCAATATGTTGAATTTGCAAGGTAGAGAAGTCAAAAAATAAGCTATGTGAACGATAACGGTAGCTTTATTTGCATGCAGCTGGTGGGAATAATGAATAATAGTATGGTTTTATCTCGCGCAGCAATAGCTGACTGATCACATAGCATCACAAGCTAAAATAATAGGGAGATTTTCTGCAGAGCTCTATTAAAGACAGCAGTAAATATGTATAGAAATTTCCTCGAGATCAAGCGGCTCTCACTGCCCACTCTAAACCTACTATAACAGCAAAAACAATGGAATTAGTCAGTGTGCAAAAATGAGCTGGCCAATACAAAGACGTGACAGTTAGTTTGCTTTCCCGTCTTAAAGATAAAGGATTAAACAAAAAGACCACTTTCCACTATTGCTGACTTCGATTTGGTTTAATTCAATTCAAATTTCTTTATCAGCCCGTGAATGGAATTTTATTTGCAGAGTTTGAAACAGAAATCCATAACAAATCAGCTCATTCTCAAGCGTGCTGTCAAACTTTGCAAACAGTTCAGGGGAAAAAAAGGCAAAGAAAATGAAGTTTTCTCATAATATATGAAGCGATATGGTTCTAAGAGCAAAAAGTTACTGACTCATTTTAAAGCAAAATATAGAAAAGGCATCAAAGGACAGAGAAAGAAGACCACGCAGTGTTGGCTCAGGTCTTTTAAGGAGATTTTCTTTGCCCACCACCATCCTACTTGTATGCTGTTCTCTGTGTTTTTTTCCCTTTTACTTCCAACCGGCAGCTCTTCTGTTCTGCCCAAAGGGACATTGATCTCGGGTCACTGAGTATGGGCAGCCTTTGAGAGGCGAGTGTTAAGTGTCTGTGCTCCCTGCTGAAGAAATAATACACAGACCTCTTCCAAATTACATCATAGTGTACATTTTTACAGCTTGGTAAAGCATCTTCTTTGCTGTATTGGTGAGAATGGAGCTGGGTGGTTTTTCCAAGTTGAACTTGTATTTCAGTGGCAACCTTAAGGTCCATTTATTAGCACTTTCTAAAGATTCCAGCTGCATCCCACGGCCATCTCTAAAGTTTCATTATCAAGAGCAAAAATGATGTGACCTTGAAGTTAATTTTGCCTGACTGGTGTTTGGCCAAGATAGTTCAAGCTGATACTAAACAGCTTGTAGTATTTGTCAGCCGAAGGCCACGAGAAGGGATTGAGAGCATAGCATGGAACATCTTAGCATTTTGTTAAAGATATTTAAAAAAGCTAACAGTGTTATGACATTTTTGACCATGTGAATAATATGAACAAATTGTGTTTTATTCTGTTACAAGAAACCACTGCCATTGGGGTACGCCAGGGAGCCCACTGGTTGCCATTGTTTTGGCAGGGTGTGCGTGTCAAATCAAAGGATTTCACACTGAAATGATTAATGTGTTTTGCTTCACTAGTTAGTGGTTTGAGTGTTGTGGCTAATGTGTATATGTGCATCAGTGGTTTTGAAAATAATCTAGATTTTTTTTTTTTTTACAACCATGGACTTGAATATTAAACTTTAATATACAAACTGTCTCGTCTCTCTTGTGCTCTTTTTATTGCGCTCTCTTACACTTACAACTCTTACAATTGTCAGAAACAGTTTGAATCCATAGACAGTCCAAGCATTAGTTTTAAAAGATTTAACAACAAAAAGAAAATCCACCAATATCTGGTGGATTTTCCTTTTGTTGTTAAATCTTTTAAAACGTAATGTCTGATAAATAACACTGGATTTCACTGGCAATTATATTTGGCATCACGCTTGCATTTTAATCCAGCCTTTCCACGCCTTTCCCCTCCTGTAACATATTTGCATTTCAATTTAAAACTTCTCACTGGAAAATAACACATATTCTTAAGAAGGCTCTTTGCTGTTGTTTACAGCTCACACAAAGTGTGCAGGAGAAGATGCAGCTCTTTATCCCAGGGCTTCGTTTTAACGTGATAGAGGCCTGCCACTGTATATATATGGGTTGTGCTTTCAGTGTTTCCACAGGACTGTGGGTGCTCCTATGTAGGAGGAATGAAAACAAAGGGAAAGACAAGAGCGCTGTCATACTTCCTTCTTTTTCCTCAAAATATGCTGTGTGGTGATGGGGGAGTTTAAATAATAAAAAAAAATAGATCAAAGAGGAAACAGCAATATTTTATCATCCTGGCTATGATTACCTCCCATTGCTCAAATGATAAATTTTTAGGTTTTTAGAATGAACCTCTTCACAGGCAGGTGATGTTGTGACTCATAATGATCTAAATGAGACCTTGAATCCATTAGTCTGAGCAGTGTGAATAACCAGGGGCTGGAGATTTTGTGGAGGTGGACAGCTCTGTCTCTGTATTGGCCAGAACCTCAGAATCAAAGGATATTCACCCACAAGAAACTAATGGAAGATGGAAATGAGCCTTTAGGGGAACCTGGGTTATTACTCTGGTAGAAAAACCTGACTTCAATCCAGAAAACTTTCTTGTCACAACACCTGTCCCAGGCACTTAGGCTCCCTGTGGTTCGTGAGCAGAGCTGGGGCAGCTGGTTCCATCCTTTCATTAGCCTTCTCGTGAATCTAATGCTTTAGTTGGATGATGCTGATGCTCCTTGTGCCCTCTGGCTCGAGGTTGTATGGCTCTCTGAGGCTGAATCAGTCCAGCTGCTCTTCCCTGCTGCTGCTGCTGCTTCGGCTTTGTCTCTGGTGGCATTAGCCTTCCCAGGCTGCTGGCATCAGTGGAGCTTGTGGTGCTGCTGCTGGGGCACCAGGAGGAGCTGCGTGATGCCCGCTGCCTGAGATTCTGCGAAATAGATCTATGGAGGTTCGTCATGGAGGAGTTGGCTGCCGTGGTGACCACCCAGGGGTGGCGGACGGCTTTTTCGGCAGTGAGGCGGGTGGCCGGGTCCAACACTAGCAGGCGCAGAATGAAGTCCTTAGCCAAGTTGGACACTGAAGGCCAAGGCTGTGGATAGAACAAGCAGACTATTAACACTCTCACCCAAGAAGATGACAATTCAGCCTACAAAACCCCTCACACACACACACAGACACCCACAGCGCTCTAATAGCTGGGTATCTAGAAGAGGCGCATGCACAGATTCCGAGCTGCTTCAAAGCGGGATGCAAGATTTCATTCTAACAAAGCAATAAAACTATGATCCCTGAGCTCTGCAGGCCTAACAAGCAGAACTAAACTCAAAAGAAAGCTAAATGTCACTGGGCAAAAGGAAGCAGCAGTCTTGGCTGAATGAATACAAAGACTGTGAGGTAGGACGGCTCTGCTGCATGTGTGGGATTTTTTTGGGTGCATGTTTAATCTTAGCCTGCATTAGCTTCACAATAAAGGCAGCAAAGATGAGCTTCAGTGGAATCCATTGCAAATCATCCGCCTTGTCATGACCCAAGCTGACATTAAAGAGTGCTTTGAAATCGGCAAAGCCATCTTTGCAGGGTGAGAGAAGACATCAGAATCCTTATCATAATTCAAATTCATTAAATTATTCATCACAGCCTTGGTTCTTAGTCAGGGAATCAACTTTCTAGAGGCCTGCCTCGGGAAAGTGATGACCTTTGTGCTTCCATCAAATTTTAAATAAAAATATTATTGATACAGATTTTCAACTAGATTGATCTGGAATCAAAGCAAAAAGAAAAACAGGCAACTGGTTAATGTTGAATGGTCATAATCATTATCACAATTTTACAAAAATCCTTGATTACAATTAAACTAAGAAAACATACATATAAATATATTCAAAACAATAAAAACTTGACATAATAAAGCAATACTGTAAGTAAAAATGACAACAAAAGGTCGCTGTGCTTGATGTGACCAAGAAGTTTCACATTTAAAAGAAATTAACTTCTCTAATTGTACAAATTTCAGATGGTTCCACTTGTCTGGCTTTTAGCAAATTAAATCCATTTTTTTTTCTAATGTTGGCATTAAGAGACAGTTTTCATCTTAGAACCTGGTCCAGTGCAATACTGATTTATAGTTTCACATATATGTGAAGCCAGAGATTTGCCAAAACTCACTTATATGTTTTATTTAAAGCACAGTTTGTCATCCAGCCAAGCACATTTTTTTATTTTTTAATGAGAGGATATTTTCAGTATGAGAGTTTTCAGTATGTGTCCTGCTGAAAGTAGTGATGTTTACTTCTAAAGGCAGCATTTAGATCTGAGTTTAAATAAATTTAGGATTGAATTGTAGGAGTACAGTACCACTTGGGCCACAAAAGGAACTATCGTCTATGAAAAAGTATTATTTAAAGATAGAGATGAATTGTAGTCCTTCTAAATTTTGACACTTTTAAAAAAATGGCAACTAAAAGAGGTCCTAAAACAGAACCCTGTGGTACACCTTTGTTAACACTTATGTAACTAGAGTAATTAGCAAACAAATTGCATGATTTTTCCATCAAATTTGGTGATTTCAATTATTACTGAGTAGTATTGAACACAATGAAAAGATCCCTTTCTTAATCTCTGTTCTCTATTTCCATATTCAGCACAGTGCGCTCAAATATTTCTCTGGCATGTTTGTCTGAGGACTGAAAAAGCTAAACGCAGTGAAATCAGAGTGTAAAACTCTCTGCTTCTTTGCTCAACCTTGCTCAGACTAAATCTCACTCTTTAGGGAGGTCTAGCTCTCCATTTTAATCCTGAAATACATTTCTCTCTCCTTTTTTTGTCTCTGGCGGAGTAATGACAATTAATCAAGCATGAAATTGACAATCGCGAGACTGTTGCCGGTGAGAGGAATTCAAAGAAGTGGGGGACTTTCTTATTCTCACAGTGTAGTGACTGGGGGTGGGGTGGGGAGTGTGAGTGTATAAGCACAGCACAGGGTGCTGAGCTGCCAGCAGAACGAGTCATAAAAAAAAGAAAAGATTCTCAGTCAAACTTTCTTCTCACACTGTTGTTATTTCACACCTGAGAGGCAGGCAGAGTGACACCGTTTGATTGAGCTCCCACGACTAACAAGTCTGACTTTCCCCTTTATCTGGCACTGGTGGTGATTTGGCGAGGCCCCTTATTACCTTGCCGTGAAATACACACTTGATAGCAGCTGTGGCTAGCAGATGCCTTTTGTCCTTGATCTGAAATAACGGGAATACATACGTTTAGTGCCTGATGGCAATGTATGAGAAAAAAGCTGGAATTATGCAGTAAAAGTCTTTGATGCTGCTGTTGAGAGGTATCAAAAGTTTCCCTTCCTCCTGTACACTTAAAGAAGAAGAGACATAACTGAGTTGCCTCCTTGGAACCGAGCCTCCTTCAGGAAGTTTATCTCTCCCCCTTATTTTGAACATTTTTCACGTCAAAATACACAAAGGCTTTATTGCGTTTAGAGGAAGGGGGCGAGAGCTAGTGTTATACATCACTGCTGAGCTGAGAGCTAGCCAACGAGGGGAGAGAAAGAGAGAGGAGGGAGATGAGTGGAGTGCAGATACGGTATAAGCAGTGGAAAAACCTACAGGGCTTGGCTTATTGAGCAACATCTTGTTAGAGTGAATGAGAAGCTCCAGTGACTGTGTTTGCGCCACGCTACATCTTTACCTGACAAAGCTGTAATTGCAACAAATGAAGAAAACGCTAGAAGCTTGGATTGCGCTAATGTGATCAGGAGGATAACGCACTTTTGAGTAATGAGTGTTACCGGCTCAGCTCAGGCCCGCAACAAACAAAGGACAACCGGGTTCAATTTCCTGATCAGTTTATCTAATTGAACATGTAGTGGGGTGTGGACGTGTCAGGTGTCAGTGGTGCATGGTAAATGTTTGCAGGGTGCTGGACAGGGAGAAGCAGAAGATGCCCAGAGAGTGGACTAAAAGAGCAGGCGTTATACCCTTTGTTACTCTCACCTCTCAGGTGCAACCATCAAGGCTCCTGCTGGGAGTAAAAAGGGAGAAGCAGCAAGAGCAGATCACATGAAGCACTCCACGAGTGTCTGTCTCACAATTTACTGCAATCTGATTCACCTGGCAGCCTTCCCCGAGCAAGAAAGCCAAGGTAAATATGCTTCATCATAATAAGTCCAAATAGAGAAGGTGGCCTGTTGCTAATTCAGGTGAAAGTACCAGCTAACCCACAGTAATCAAAATATCAATACTCGGATGCAGGAGAGAGTGGGCTGTCATGTACAATATACTGTGGCCAAGTGGAGGCTGGGGCTGTTCACATGGTGCTCACTAGGGGGCAGACTGGCCTAACCATTACCCCATTTGGCCTCCTGCTTGGAGATGTAGACATTTGGGCTGGGTCAGGAAAGTGTGGCTTCCATAACACAGCGGCAGAATGCAGAGGAGGTTACCAGGCTACCTGGACAGAACTAATGCGAGGACTGCTGCTTTACATGCAAAAGACTGCCACACATTCACGCTCGCAGGCACACAAACAAAATACAGTCACACAGATGAGATGTCCCCGATTATGTGCAAAGGAAATTATTTGTCTTATACAGAGAGAAGGGACTAAGTGATAAGGCGTTCAAAGCCCTTGAGGCTACATCCGTTCCTTCTTCTGTCCTGCTTGTCCTCTGCCCCCTCCTCTTTTCCTCACTCGCATCCTCCCTCACTCCCGTGCCATCAACCCCCGGCTCCCCCTCTTCCTCACGCTCACTACTGAGCAAACACATCAGCGTGAGTTTGCACTACAGGTCCTCAGGCGAGGAGCTGCTGCACCTGTGAGTGGAGCGTGCATGGCACGTATGAATGTACCGTTTGTGTGTCTGCTGCTAGTGCAATAAAAGAAGGGGTGGGGGCTGCCGGTGAGACAAAGGGACTCAATTCGTGGGAAGGTGCCAGCGGCCTTCTGCATTTCCGATTCAGTCTCACCTTCGCCTCTCTCCTCAAACCTCCCCCATCCCACTCACATTTTCACGCAAAATTACACACATGCATGTGCCCAAAGTCCCCGTTCAGCCTGAATAAAAACAAAAGGTTGCTGATACATTTGGAAAAATGTTTGTAATTGCAGCCCCTGTGTATTAATTTACATAGTGAGGAAGAGGAGAAAAAACAGTTATGTCCATCTGTACCTGAAGTTAATCATTTTTGCTACACTGCATCATTGAATACATATTTATACATGGTCTCCGATGACTGCAGTCTGCTGTAAATGCTTAAAAAAACCCATGTGTTAATGCATGTGGTTATACAGAAATATGCTAACTTACTTAACATGGCTTTGGGCTGGGTAGAGTGAAACTTTTAGGCTTAAAAGTAATAACTCATTCCTGTAACACTGTAAATGCAAACAATACCCTCACTTATATTGAGTTATCTGCATTGAGTTTTTGCTTTAGAGTACAGCCTTGCATACTTGTTTGATTTAATAATTTGATCTGGTTTCATCGTCTGCACTGTTAATATTTAACTTTAAACCCTTAAGTTAGCAGCGCAGGGATTTTTGTTTCAGTAATTTTGCAGTCTTGTGGTGATTGAGATTCTTGTTTTGATTAGTGCTCCTGGTCAGTGGTGTTGTTAGGGTTTGTGGACCTGTTATTGCGCAGCGCATGGGGAACAGAAATGTAACAAAAGTGGGATTTTTTTAGTTCTCTTTTCTTTTTAAATGATAAAATTTGCTAAACCTAGGTTGTCCAAAGTGCATTTAATTCAAACTGAAATTCTTTTAGTTCATGTGAATTATCCTCATTAGTACTAAACACTCAAAATATTATTATTCACCCTTATTAAGCAGATACGCATATTTTACGAGGCAGCAAGTCTACATAATTTTTATGCATTTATTTATTTATTTTTTGTAAAGCCCATTAAACAAATTTGTGTTGCCGTAACACTTCATAATGCAAAAGGGGCTGATACGCTGGATAGGTAACAAAAATCTAATAAATGTACCGGGCTTGCTCTAATACAGCACTGCATGTTTTCAATAAATTAATAGCAGCGGGTATTTGGGTTTTAAACCATATCTAGATTTACCAGATGGTTTCCACTGTTTAATATTATCACTTGTTGTGTCAAATTGTACTAATTTACTGCATCTCTGCCATCTTGTTGAAGCAGAATGTGCACTGCCAGCAAATGTCTTCAAAGGCTGTCTTGCCATGCTGACTGCATCTGTGATCATACCAACTTTATTTTTACTCCTTTTTTTCCTATTGACCACAGAAATCGAGTTAATTATGTCTTCATTCCTTTCGACTGCTTTACTTTCAGTGTCTCGCTATGGCATTTGCTTTGTTTGCACTGTTACGCCATACTGGGACACTTGATTGGAACGAGCCATTGTTCATGTTATTGGCAACACCTGCTCTCCAGTCTCTGTGGAGGTGAAAATGCACAGATTGGATTGACATCCAATCACATTCACTTGTAACATCTCAAGTCAAGAAGATATCACTCCAGGCAAACCACCCCTGTCATTCAGTAGTAGTACGCCGTAAGACACTGAGGATCCAGTCAGTCAGTGTTCCCCTTCTTGCTGCGAAAAGCACATTTTTTGGGAAGGGGGCAAAGTCCAATAGTCACTTTGTTTAATTGGTGGACATATCATTCCAACTGATGCGCTTCAAGTCAAGTTTAGTATGTGAAAGAAATTCCTGAGGCACCCAAAGAGAGGAACCCTTCTTAATGACATGAGGAGCCCTTGTGATGACAGACGTCCACGTTTTGTGGGTACTTGTCAACCTTCACTACATTATTATCACAGCGTGCGCGCTTAACTGTGTTGTCACTCTGCTGGAGAGGGTGGATACTCGCACATGACAGAGAATAAGTGCCTTGTCAACATGGAAATGTGATTGATGGCTGATCTATCAAGCCCTGGACTGTTACTCAGCCATGTATGATGTCTTTATAATACGACCATATGAATTTACAGATTGATGCCTTGACTGCATCTCACTGAGATGTGAGAGACTGAGCGTACGGTTCTATAAATGTTGCTTTTAGCTTTAATGTCAAGACTTTTTCCTCACTAGCGTGGCCTACATATGTGCTATGTCAAAAACCACCGTGAAAAACATAAAATAAGCTCTTGCATGAAGTTTAGAAGGATTTTGCATTATTGTTCAGCTGGTGGTCAGTGCAGCGGTAAACACAGGGATAATAGTCCAGGGCCTATGTAAGGGAGCCTCTTGTATGCCAGACTAAAATGTCAGACTGCATCCCTAAGAATCGAGCCAGGCTTAAAGCCCAGTGAATAATCCAGCGTTGTGTGTAATCAGCGTGAAAGAACAAGCCCGAACTCACTACTGAGCTTGACTGAATAGGCTTTTAAAAACACCCACTTCAGTTATATGATATAGGGAAGTGGGGAGAAAATCACGCAAGGCCCCATTTCCCACCATTTCAAAGCATTCTCAAAGAACCAAACCAAGCGAGGAACTCAAAGACATCACAACAAACTTTCACATTTTCTTTCATGTGCTTTGCAATATTGCAGAAGAAGACATGAAAACAAGGAGAGGTTCACCTTGTTACCACACCAGTACTGCAATGTGCTGAGCTGACTTTTTTTTCCTACTTATGTCAGGCAAGGATGGAAGGATGGTACCATTTCTGGTAGTTCTAAAAGCGCAGTGATTAAGGTATGAATTATTATTGTGTGGTGAGTAGATGTAATGACCATATGTGAAGAAATGTTTTGCATAATTTCAGAGCATGCACGTCATAAATAATGCCAGATTATACTATAGGGAGAAGACCAGATGTCAAAATGAAAATCAGGGATTTAGTTAAAACTACATTTTTTTCAATGATTATGCTGGAAGCAGATGCACTTCAGTGGGTGAGGCCACAGCTGGCCAAAGAGTTGAAAATGAACAAAGACGCATTTCTAATAGATGCTCAAGGTTACCTTGACAGTTTTCTCCAGCTTCCTTCTGTTTTCAAGATTAAGATTTAATGCCTTATGCCAAAACAAACTGGGTTTTTCCCTAACAAAAGTAAAGTTGGTATTTAAAAAGAGAGCGCAATGGCAAGATTGCTTGTAAGAGGTGGAAACTTGGAGATTTTTGCAACTGAGCCTCCTGCATATGCATTCCTGGCAGTTTCTTTCTCAAGGCATAAAATATAGAAAGAGGAATATTTAAATCAAGCATGAAAACTCATGCAGGTGCAGGATTATCATAGCCTGCACGATCAGATTTGAAGTGAAATAGCTGAAGAACTGAGAGAACAAAGGGATGACGACATGGACTTTGAACCCTATCTTGAAAACAATCGTGCCTCAGATAGAGATCAAACACAGTTTTCCCTAATAAAGTTTTATTACAGTCAAATTAAACTGTTAAAATTTCAGGACCATGGACAGCGCTCACAGTTTTCACCATAATCTCATGAGTTGTCCTCTAACACGACCTGCACGGATTGTCAGACACACACACACACACACACACACACACACACACACACACACACACACACACACACACACACACACACACACAAGATTCCCCATGAAATCTGCAAAAAAATGCGTTGCACATGTTGACGGTAAAGAAATAAACTTTTGTTAATCAGGCATTTCCTGAAGTGATCTAAGTTGTTTTAATAGAAGAGCGCAACAGAACCAATGTCAAAAAATATTTGCACGGTTTGCAGTCCCACATTAGAGCCTGTCAGTTACTGAAGAATGTTTTCATTATAATGATTCTCTGCCACATTAGGCCTAGATTTAACATATACATGTATGACCTAAATTTAAATGCTTTTCTGGTTGCAATTAACAAGCTGTGCCTGTCCTGTTAGGAAATTACCTGCAGCTGAATCTCATCACTCAGTTTGCGATCATGGTCCAAACTGAATGGCTCTTGGGAGATTGGGCATGTTATATTGAAATAAACCGACTGTTTAGAAACCAGTGCAACATGTAGATCACAAATAAAAGTTACCACAGCACTATTTGGGAAGTATAAAAGAAGTATAAAACTTGATCATAATTTTGCATTCCATAAACCAAGCAATCACTGTGCTAGCAACAAGCTACAGCACGTTAACAGTTACTTTAAACAGACAGTTTCGCTGAGTGTTGCTAGAGTTCAGCATATGAATACCACTCTCAGTGGGGGAAAAGTCACTTCACAATATAAAATGCAAAGAAAACACATTTAACTGTATAAAAATATGATTTCAGTATGGAATTATTTTAGCACTCTACCTAGTTAGCTGCTAAAAGGCTAATATTAGCTATGTGCTAGCAACCTATACTGGCTTGACCTAAGGCACTTCGAAACATATTGATGTTAATAATACTTTAGCTTTTAAATCATCCACATTCTACACCAACACAAGTGACATGGTTTAGGTTAATTTGGATACTTATCAGTAAGTCGGCCTACAGATTTTCAGGATCCTACTGTGTTAGGTTTTGTATTGTTGATTGTCATTTATGCTTAGAAATATTTAACCATATATGCTTAGAGGTGTATAATCATTTGTAGATTGAAAGAATGTCTCATCCTAGGAGGTCTGTAACAACTCTGAGTAGCATGAAGGGGGAGGGCGTTCACTCCTCTACAGAGTGTTCTGGCATAGATCACACACCTCCTAGGAGAGGTCGTATTTTCTCTTTGTTGATATATGTCATAGCAAACATATGTATATCTCTTTAAGTATAAGAGCCTTTTGTTCAGATGGACCCGCTAGACTCCTGGCACCAGCGTTTGGGGAGTCTTCACAGGGTCACATCTTGACCTCACACACACACACACACACACACATACACACACACACACACACACACACACACACACACACACACACACACACAGTATTCTTTGTTCACATGTATACCTATGTAAGATGTTATATGTTAATGACCCTATGCATATTCATGTAACCACAATAAAAGGAGTGCTATGGGGAACCTGGCTGAGAGTCTGACGGAGGTCAAGTGGGGGAACGACGCTTGACCCCAGGCAGGTCTCCCTCATGCATGAGTAACATGAAGAACTTTGCCTACTTCGGGTCTTGCTTGCTGTGTAATTATATTGTCCTCAACGTTCCAGCGAATAGGTTCAAGCTACAAACCTATCATACTGTTTTCCATTTTCACCTGGTCCTTATGGCTGATATCCACTTGTTTGTCATTAAAGGGTATGTTTTTCAGTTCAGCCTGTAAATTACATCTGTGGGCTACTTTTCCTGCTCATAGTGTCTCTAACAACATTTTGTGTATTTTTCATTTCATGATTAGCAGAAAAACATCAACAAACAGGCACATTTACCCACCAAAAAATTAATAAAAAGACAAAAATTCTTCTTGAATCTGCTGTGGGTCGCACTTAAATCCAATCTGTCTTCATATTTCCTTTATTCTGGTCAAAGAGTTTTAGCAGTAGCACAACGTGCTTATGGTGCAAAATTTTCTCATTTAGTTTATTAAATCCTCTAGAACCTCTATTTGCTATCCAAAATTACTTACTAAACATAACTGAACAAAAAGTCCAGTAAACTTACATTTCCACGGAAGCTATATTTTCCTCTCACAATGGATCTGTAGAGCTGTGTGCGGCTGTCATCCTCAAACGGCACAGTTCCACTCAGCAAAATGTAGGCAATTACCCCTAAAGCCCACATGTCCACTGCACAGGAATAGGGTCTCCTCAGCAACATTTCAGGAGCCATGTACTCAGGGGTTCCACAAGTGGTCCTCAAAGACCACGACTCTCCAGTTTCCTCGTTGCCTCGTTCAGAAATCTCACACCTGGTGAGTGTGCTGGCAAAAGCAGACAATCCAAAGTCGGTCACCAACAATCTGGAGTCTGCTCCGGGGTGGTAGTACAGAAGATTCTCAGGCTTCAAGTCTCTGTGGGTGATTCCCAGGCTGTGCAGGTATACCAATGCAGCCAGTATCATCTGGATGGCCTGGGTAGCATCTCGCTCAGTGAAGTGGCCCCTGCTGACAAGACGGTCCAAAAGTTCCCCTCCTGTCGCCAGTTCCAGTACCATATAAACACGCTGTGGAAACTGGAACACCTCAACCAGCTGAATGACATTAGCATGGCTCACCCTCTGCAGCACTGCTAGTTCAGAATCACACACCTCACGACCCTCTGGGGCCTCTACCTCCATCATTTTTATGGCAAAGGGCTGGCGAGTTGCCCTGTGCTCCACACGCACAACACGACTGAAGCTTCCACGACCAATCAGGGCTTTGATGTCATACCTGACAGGGCAGAAGGGGAATGGTGACTCATTACAGCATAACTATCTCATGATACACTGCTGCAAAGCACTAAATGTCTCTCCCTGCAGCTGCAGTCCTGATGTATGGGAATATATGTTTTGCACTATGCTATACAGCATGCAAAGTCGATCAAACCAATATGTATGATCCTGATTTAGATCGCCAATAAACAAGGCAATACTTTATGCAAGCTTTGAATTATGGGATGATGAGCAATACACATGTTTCCCCTTAAAAAGGAATCAGTTTTGTTCCTTTAATTGTTTCTAGGCCTTTATCTGACAAGTACAGGAAGGCGGTGTTTCCGGCATTAAAACCCCCAAGGATCTCAAATGACTGTCTACCATTATTGCAGGATGTTGGGTTGGAAAGAATGAGAAAGACGAATGTTAAAAGGCTCCTATGAGCACTGCAAATGCAGGCTTTTCCACTTATGTTTGGCTGTAAATTGCTATTGCCAAATAATGTACTGGCCTCAAGATTAGTGGATAAAAGCCAATCTATCAGTTGCCACTTTCCTGGATTTTGAGGGGCCTAAATTTCAACCATCCACCATGTTATATTTGATTCTTGATTTTTTTTTTCCAGTACAAGATTGGCAGATTTAAATATCATGGATGTACAAAATACAATTTCCAGCAAGCATAGCATGAAAAATACTGTCTGCTTTAAAAACTCTGAAGAAATAATTATTCAAACTGTGAACACTTACCGTGCTGTGACGCGTGGCTCAAACTTGTCCTTATACCTGGGAACCTTGTTCCATTCTTGTCTTTGTTTGATTTGCTGTTTGCTGCTTGGTCCTAGGTGAGGATTATCAACACTGGCAGAAAACCATGGATTTTTTTGCTTCTTCTTTTGTTTCTTTGGCTCATCATCATCCTCATGTCCTTTACTGAAAGCTACTAGTGACTGCACCACACTTACATAGCTTTTCTTAGATGCCTCAGGCAGCACCTTACTGTTCCCACAACCCATTTCTAAGACCAACATTTACTATGGAGCGAGCCGAGATTCCCCTTCATCTGCTGTGAACTGAAAGTGGCCTGAAAAAAAGAAAAAGAAAACCCAAACAAACCCAACTACCTGCTTGAGGTGTGTACACAGCAACAGTAAAGCTCCACCTTCCCACTAAGTTTGAATTTGTCAGGTGTGTGAAGTGATCCTTTCAGTCACTTGTGGTAAAAATGTCACGTAAACAGCAGTTGTTTTGAAGCTATTGTCACTCCTTGCAGATTGTTGCTATACTGCCACAGTAGCAGGAAAAGGAGTCAGGACTCCTGTCACTAGGCAACATAACACTGTAACCAAGAAAAAACAAAAAAGTGGAAAAAAAGAGAACAAATTCTTCTCCAAATTAAACATATAACTAAATAAATAGTCTTTCTACATGCAGATATGTGAGTGCCGGGAGTCAAATATTGCTGATGAGGCATTTCTTTTGATTTAAAATAAATTTAGCATGGGAGTCTAAGGAGATCCAGCCTCAGGTGGCAGATGTGGCAAGCAGGTTTCTCCTTGCTTGTTGGTCACAATAGTTGTGACTAACAAGTCCTAAATCATGCCTTGATTTGCAACATGTTTTACTCTGTGGGATCATTTAAAAGCTATCTTTTGAACATAGACATCTAAAGAACTGAAAGTCCTTTTAAAGCAAAGGAGTCGCCTCCTGCTGGATTAACTTTGGGGTTATTTCCATTTAAAAGAATATCTTATATGTATGTATATATGTATGTATGTCCAGTCTTTACATTGTAGATGTATGATTCCTGTCTGGATTAAAAACTGGATGGTGAATTTTGCTCTATTTCTATGTGCCCCCACATTTGTATATACATACGTTTCAGAGGCCTGCAGTAACTGTGGTTCTCACACAGTGAAAAAAGTGGTGGATTTTAAAGCACCAGAGGCCAGCATATTTGTGAGTACCAGAGTGCCAAAAATACTGGACTCCCAAAATGCAGCTCAATAGCACCCTGATGACATCATCAGGTTTATTCTTTCCAGCTCTGAAAAGCTCACTTCAGAGCTACAGGAAACATTATCCAAAATCCTGGGCCCCATTGAACTTCATGCATAAAAATCAACGGTGGCATGGTGGTGCATTGGTTAGCACAGCAAGAATTTCATGGGCTCAGATCTTCCTGGGGGCTTTCTGTGAGCAGTTGGCATGTTCTTCCTGTTTCTGTATATTTATTTATTTTTTTGTCTCTGGGTGCACTGATTTCCTTTCACAGCCAAAAGATATCTAAGGTTAACTGGTGAGTCTGAAATGTCTATAGGTATAGATTTGAGAAGGTGACGTGTTGTATGAATGTGGTCTGTGGTGTAAAAGCACTGTGAGCGGTCAGTAAACGCTGAAACTGCTACATAAATACCAGTCTATTTTTTTTAAAGGGGGTTTACAATACACAGATGCAATACAGGATTCCAGGATTCCTGCTACATTTCTCTCTCCTACTTTTGTGTCTTTTTGTGTTAGAAACCAATGCAAAATGTATGTTCACTGTATTGTTTGATTGTTAAGCACAGTCTGTCTTTCAGTGTCCCTGTCAAGCCTGTGAGAAGCGCCAAGCTACTTTTTTCTATTTTCTGCATTATGTTGTGCTGCTGTCATCATATGTTCATAATCTTCAGAGAATGGAACGAGGAAGGCGGGGGGAAAACAAAAAGACATACAGCCTCCTCCGTGCCCGCCTTTGCCCAGGACATTGTTTCGAGGAGCTAAACCTTGAAGAAACTGAAGACGACAGGAGGACATGCATTTATTTATTTATTCATGCAAGGCTGCTGAGCAGAGCCAAGACATCACAAATAGGGGGAGAAGCTCCCTTTTACCACAAGCACGCTGTACATCGAGTTTAAATTATTCTTTTTCACTTGAGCAGCACAGAAATAATGTGCTTATGAGGCCTGTATAATGAGTTCATGTTTATGAATAAATTGTGCATGAAGTTTGCATGCTCATGAACATTTGGAGCTCACAGAGGAAAGTAAAACATATTTATAGAAAGATATCCATAACTTCTAGACACTTCTTTTATGATACTTGAAAAGGTTATTTTGGGTTTTGTGACATTTCTATGGCAGCATTATTTTAATCAGTTGTTTGTGGTATTGTCAGATATATATTTTTCATAACTTTTCTGTAGGTAGTGCTTTGCAACTCGATTTTTTTTTTTTTTTTTTTTTTTTTTACAATTGTCTTTTTAAGTCAGTTAAGTGGATCTGTGTTACTCTGGGTAGACGGAGTAAACTTAAACACCATCCTTTTGGTGCATTTTTTCCCCTGGACACTGGATGATGGATGTGGTTGAACAGTCAATTTTGCTCTGAAATTCTCCCAGCTGAGAATATTGAGCAAGAATGATCTGAGTGGCTGTCATAACAACAACTGTCCAAGTTCTCAAAGTCTAAGGAAAGGTGCTTCAGTGCTTCCCTTATTACCTCCTTTAGTAAAAGATTTGCTTGTTCCTCCTTTATGAAAGGAAAGACAATAATTCATCTGTTCTCGGAATCAACTGACACAACCCATACATGGCGCACATCATGTAGATGGTAATTGGAAGTGCATTTTCCATTTCATATCAGTGATTGCTGATCCAGGTGCTAAAAACACAGCTGAACTGTGAACAATTTGCTGCTGTAATACAATCTTCTTGTCACGGTGTTGCTCCTTTAAATCAAGATTACGAGTTCCATTAACTATATCAAAGTGTGGTTAAGGTTTGCATTAAAAAAAAGGTGAAATCAATTTTTACTTTGTCTTAGATTCAGTCTCAGAAACTCTCTCCAGCAGAAAAACCAATATTTTTTTCTCTTCATTTTATAGGTGGTATATTGCCTTTTCTTTAAAAGATGTATTTTTTCTCAGGGCTTCTCATTAATATAACACTTTGAGGGGACGTAAGATGCACATTTTGTAGTCGATTTTTGTTGTCGAAGTTGTTTGAATGATGCACAGTTTGTATGTTTGCCAAGAAAATATCTGCCACATCATTACACCACCAGAAATATCCTGAACAAGTGACACAAGGCAGGATGGATCCATGCGTTCGTGTTGTCGACGTGACGTTATGACCCTATCATCTGAAATGTTTTCCAATCTCCTACTGTCCAATTTTAATGAGGCTGTATGAATTGTTTCCTGTGTTTCCTGTTCCTGTGTGGTCTTCTGCTGCTGCAGCCCATCGCATGTTGTGCGTTTAGACAATCTTTCCTGCATGCATTGGCTGTAATAAGAGGTGTAATGATACCATTCAGATATTCAGTTGGAGCCAGGTCTACATGCCTAAATGTTAACGGATAAATCAGATATTTTCATCAAGAGGTTTACCTAACAAACTGGCTAATCAGTGTATATAACTGGTTGTTTTAATTTGTTTCCACTCTATAACAATATTAAGACATTCTCTGTATATATTTTACAGTGATGCTGATGAAGACCCTCAAGCTGAAATGTTTTTCTGTAGCCCTCTGTGCTCTCTTTCTACAGCTTTGTAAAGAATTTTACCCTCTTGCCACTTTCTCTGTCTTTCATTTCTTTTATTTTCTTGTATTTATTAAAAATGTGCGTCACTCTTGCTTTGTGAGAAAAAAAATCATTTCCTGTGGGCCACCAAGCTTATTCCCATAAAAAGGTCTACAGCATGGCACGTATGTACATATATATATATTTGTAAAATCAAATCAAAGAAAAACAGTAAATGGAAATGCTTTCAGGATATGAGCAGAGGTTTAGCCCCTATTGCGTAATATTTGTTTTGCATTATGAGGGATGGAAATGTTTATTTATATGAAAATGTCAAAGACGCTATTATGCATCGATGTGTCTTTTCAGAGGTGTAAATTGTGTTGTCACTGGACAGAATATAAGGCTGCATCATCAGATGCTTGTCTGCTGCTATTTTTTTTTCCAGAGGAGCCAAAGGGGATTCTGGGCCTATCAGTCTGTTCTTCTGTCACACACTGTCTATCCCTTCTCAAAGGACTGTACACACACATATACCCCACGCCTCCTCCATATACAGACACACAGAGCCAGCAGAGGGTAGACATCACATCAGCACTGAGGTGGTAAATCGCCCTTCAGAAGCCTTCCTCGAGGGAGTCAGCAGTTCAGCGTTTATCGAACCTCTATCTGATTACTAAAAGGCTGTCCTTGGTTATAAATGAACCCGCAACATGTGTGTGGTATTGGTAATACTGGAGCGTTGGGAATAAAAAAACCATTATGGGTTGAAGTGAATCGGTTTAAGTCAGAGGAGCGGTCAGAGCACAGCTGCCACTTGCCAGTCAGTTCATTACTGTTGTTATTGTAGTGGCAGGATGCGATACCTGTGTGTGAGAGGAGTGGATTGATGCTAGAACAAACTAATGGCTGTGGACTGAAGAGCAGGTGTTCCTAGGCTGAGAGTGGGAAAAAATGGGTTTGAAAAAACCCCCCCAAAACTAGAGAATAGTTCAATGAATACTTGAACTTTGAAAATGTATGCTAAGGTGGGCGAGACAGCATGGAGCCTATTCTGGTGTGCACTTGAAATGACAACTAGCAAGGATGATTGGAAGCAGCATGTTTAAAAAAAGCTGGACCTCCCAGAGGTTGCATAATTCTTTCTTTCCTTACGTTGCCTCGACTATTATTCAGTATGAAAACTACACTCAAATGCATGTGGTCTGAGCATGTTTTCCATGGTTTGGTTAGGCCCCTCGGCTCTAATTAGGAGAAATTTTAATGCTTCAGCATTCAGTGATATTATAGAGAAGAGTGTGCTTCCAGCAGTAGTTTGTGCTCGACCCTTTCCTTTTTCACCTTGGCAATCCCCCCACCCCATCCCACCTGACAAATTGGCACAAAGCCAGGTCTATAAAGAAAAACTTCTCCCAGTTTGATTTAGAAGATCCTAACTGGCCTACACAGAGCCCTGACCTAAAACACCATCCAACAGCTTTGGGATAAATTGGAACTCAGACTGCGA